CTCTGTGCCCAATTTTGAGTACTCGCTAATTGACGAATGGCTCAAACATTCCTCACTCTATTCATTACCCAGCTATTATCAAATACCCTAGTTGAGCTATTTCTTCAACAGAATTGAACACTGGGCAAAGTATGCGGGAAGGTTTTGTGGTTAGCCCAAAAGTTACCAAAGTTACCAATTCAAATTGCAGCTGTTAGAAAGTAGAAGTATTGTGGCGTAAATCAAAACTAATTTATTGATTGATTCATTCCATAACGTCTTACAATCAATCAGATTACATTCAAAAAGTTACAAAAAATTAATAGTCTCGATCGTAGGCATCTTATGCAAACTTTGATGTTTTCAAAAGTTTCCTCACAATTCAATTTTTCGTCGACAAACATTTCGAAAATTACTGTTAATCTAATTACACGCCCGATAAGAGTTTCGAAAAGTTCTGCTATCTTCCAAATATGAAATCTGTGTCGCTGATGTGGGTGTCAGTGATTTTTGGTTGATGAATCATGTAAGCAATTCTATTCATTCATAACGCGCCGACACATCGTTGTTATGATAGGCGACACTAAAGATCGAGAAGCTGCTGCGTTTGTGCAGGAGCCCCTGGGGATCACGAGCACAATCTAATGCAGGTGTGCCTATAGCAGTTGATCGTGATCGAAAACATCTCTCTTTCTATAAGTGTTACGATCAATGTCTGGTATACGGTGGCGGATCTTATAGTAAAATTTTAAAAGAGGCATAAGAGCAACCAAAAGAGATAAAGTCTTTTTACTACAATCAACATTAAAAGCAAGAAACTAACAAAAAGCATAACTTTGCTTTTCTGCTGTTTTCTCTGCAGATTATTACTGCTCATTGAGTAAGTACCAAGCAAACAAAATGAATAAGATAATGAGCGAACTTTCTGATATTTTCGGTGATGATTACAAAGTGAGTTGTACGAAAATACAAGCTAAATGTTACGGTTAAGGGCATGCGAGTGCACCATACTCTATATAGAATAGCGAATGTTGATATGACCGTCTGTGATATTCCTTACTTTAAATAAAAGAAAAAATAATAAGGAAAACGAAGAGAAGAATAACTTGAATTACGTCTCAAGAAAACGTAATGATTATGCTGCAATCATACTGTGGTCTATCTTGTAGAGTTACTCAAAATTTCAAAGTTACATAATACGACAAGAAGAGGAATAAAAGTCATTTTGTTGAGATTTAAAGTAGTTTTTGTCTTAATGTGTATGCTTCTATTCAGCAAGTTGATGAAGTTTGTAATAGAGTTTGGTTTACATCCAACAGCTTTGTGACGTTGACGTAATGTAATTCTTACAGTATCATTAAGTTTGATAATATTCCAACCAAGCAGTCGTTAAAATGTTCTGAGTCCTTGTTGTCGTCTTTTATTTTTGCTCTGCCCAGCCAAATGGGAAAGAGGAGCAAGTGGAGCTTACAAATTCTGTTGAACCGAACACGATTTCCTTAGATACAATTTCGTTGTCTTTGAGCTCTTAAAATAGTGCATTTACATTTTAGGTAAACTGTACTTTATTTACTTTCTCAGATCCTTTACTCGTATGAGTAAATCTTGCTCTTGAGTTCCCACAGTACTCCATAAGAACTTCGAAGCCTATCTCCTGGCAATCATCGAATAGAGGACATTAATGTATGGTAATCCTGTGTAGTACGTACAGAGTCCTCATGCCATACTCCTATTAAACTATGAACAGCTGAACATCACGCCAATCGTACATAATTTTTTCCCGAACCCACGCAAATCTACCTCTGCATTTCAAAATCTATGCAAATGCACCAGTTTACTCCGTCTATGATCATAGATCTGTGCGTATGAATGTTTTATGCCATAATAGTTATTGCCGTCAGCAAATCAGGTTTAATATCGGTAAAGGGCAGTCGAACTACCGGTTGATGAGCTCATACGGAGTCCACAGCTCTGTTTGCATAGTAGAGAGTGAGTCAGAGAAGGGCGGACCGCGAATAGATCAGCGCCGAACATTTAGATATAAAGGCTGCCTCGGCTAGTTGATAGATACTTAGCCTTATTTAGCTCTATACTTTCTGATATAGGCAACGTTTTCACTGACTTTCTAACCTTAATCCTACCACTATTGAATGTAAAATTTAACATTGTGCGATTGCAGAATGAACAAAACAATAGCGATTCTTGCCATAATTGGCACTGTAACCCTCGCCCAATTCGGGATGGACAACTTCCCTGAACGAGAAGGTCCAGGAGGCCCAGGAGGACGAGGAGGACCAGGCGGACGAAGAGGCCCAGGAGATAGATGGGGCTTTGGTGGTCCAGG